GAAGAGCTAAACCTTTTCTAAAATCCCCCATAGCTGGCGATTGAACAACTTATTCATAACTAGTGAACGGAAATTTCCAGATCTGGCTTATTATTTTCAGCATGGGAAGGAAAATAGGGAACGGCATCAAGAAAGAAGCGCACTCAAATCTACGGCAAACCTTATCGGCAAACCTATAAGATTTGCCGACACCCTACGAGGCACGAGTTTGTGTCGAATTCAATGTCACGGCTGAAAAAATCTATAAAATCTGGATCCAATCTGGTAATTCAGGCTTTTTTCAAGCAGTGACTTGTGAAGAACTACCCCCTACTATTCTACTTGTTGACTTTTGGGGTCATCTTACATGCAAGAAGGGTAAAGAACCTGTCTCCTCGGAACCCCCTAATTCTAATCCTGTCATCCCAACCTTGTATCCATTAGTGATGGACCCGGGCCGGGCCAAGGCCCGGTTGGGCCTCGGATCTGGTATAGGTTGGCCCAGGACCGGCCCGGGCTATGGTCGGTTCCGGTTCGGGCCGGGGCACCCGGTCGGGTCACAGGTCGGGCCACCCGCCGGGCCGGTTCAGTATATATATTTTTTAAATAATTATATATTATACAAATTCCTATTAAAAACAAAGTTCAAGTGCATTTATTTGAAATAAGAACTACATTTGAGAATTGAGAAAAAATTAACAATACGAAATACATTTTCTAATAAATATCAATTGGGATTTCCGCCGACGTTGGTTGTCCACCAACGTCATATGTTTTATTGGCATCCCGTATCCGTGTGAACACCCCAAGCAACACTCTTTCTTGCACCACTTGCAAGTTGCCCACCACAGTCCGGTCTTCGGGTCCTTCCACTTATCAAAATTATTTTGCATAAGGGAAGATGTACTTTCCATCTTTAAAATGGTATATGTATAAGTAGGAATGTAGGATAATAAGAGAAGATGAAGATGGAGAAGAGTTGGAGAAGAGGTGTAGAAAAATGTTAGAAAATAGATGTATTTATAGATGTTTTTGAACCCCACTCCCCACAGCACCACCCCCGGGATCCCCTGCCCCCCACCCAAAGCCCCAACGGCTATATAGCCGTTTGGGAGGTTTTGTTTGAAAAAAAATCAATTTTTTTTAAAAGTTATACATATTGTAAAATAAGTTAATTAATTTAATGAATTAAGTAAAACTATTTGTACTTAGAAAAGTGGTTTGGTTTATAATTCACAAATGTTACAAAATAGGTGTATAAGTATTTAAACAAATTACATATTGTAAATGTATTTTTAATTTAAAAACCGGCTTTAGATTTTAGAAAAATAATTTTAAGTCATAAGTTTGTAACCAATTAAATAATTTGAGGAGTGCTACATATGAAAAAATGAACGCATATTTATTTGAAATATGAAGTACAAGTTTACAAATTAATTTGAAGTACAACTACAAATTTACAATTTTGAAATATGAAGTACAAGTTTACAATTTTGAAATATGAAGTACAAGTATAAATTAATTTGACAAGTGCTACAAAATACATTTTATAATAAATTCTAAAATACTAATCAATCAGAATCTCCGGCATAGGTAGAGCCACCATCGGTTGTTGAGTCATCCATAAAATCTTGGGAGGGGGTGATGCTCATTTCTTGAGTTCTACGTGCGGCCTTCAACCAATCGTGGTAGCATCTAAGCGTCTCAAGAGACTCCGCGCTCAATCTCGATCTAGATGCCGTTAGGACGTTGCCGGCCGAACTAAATTCTTGTTCCACAGCAACTGTTGAAACCAGCATTGATAGTACTTGCTTAGCCATCCGTGCTAAAATCGGGAACGTTCTTTCTTTTGACTTCCATCAGTCTAGAACGTCAAAGTCATCATTTTCTTCAAAATCAACTTCATATGTTAAATACAAAGTAATCTCATTCAATGCGCTTTGTTCAGTGACGTGAGTTGTTTTAGTTTTTTTCATAAGATTGCCAAATGCAGATTTAAAATCGATTTTCCTTTAAATGAAGATGTTCGTGACGGGGGAGGGGGAACATTGCTATATTGTGCACGAAACTCATTAAATAAGACATAAAATAAAGCACTAACCTCGTTGTATTCCGTTTTCGGATCTATGGGGTTATCGTCATACATTGGAAATTCACCAAAAAGCGCAAGATAATAGAAGTTGAAACAATCTTCCAAATAAGCAAGTCTAAAACGAGGATCGAGAATAAATGCAATATCATAAATATGGGGAATATGCGCATAATATTTTAAAAAAATTTCCTTCATATAATATTATAATCACAAAAATAACTCACGAAAACGGCATTCTCAAATTCTTTAAAAGCACCGACGAGATTAACAGCTTAACGAATAAATTGGTTTGCGGTAGGTTTATAAACATGACTAAAAGTTTCAGTTGCATTAAAAAAAATCAAAACATTACAAATTTTTTCGCAAGTGTCGATCTCAGCCGAGGTTATAATATAGTTATCATGTTGTTTTAAAAAAGCAGGAAAATGTTCTTTATATCTAAGAACAACTTTAAGTAATTTATAAGTACCATTCCAACGAATATTCAAATCTTTAGGAAAAGCAACATATCTCACACCTCTTTCGGTCAAATAAGTTTGTCATTTTAATCTAAGTTGACCATTACCCCAAATACGTCTAATCCCCCCCTTCACTACCTCCATAGCATCTCCTAACGCTTTTAGACCGTCTTGCACACATAAATTTATAACATGGCATGCACAGCGTTGATGAAAAAATCTATCCATCAAAGTATTGGCACCACACAATTCACGCAATCTAGGTATAGCAGCAGTATTATTAGTAGCATTGTCGAAACCAATAACAAACACCTTATCAATCAAATTATACTCAATTAAAATACGCTCAATCAAAATATAAATATGTTCAGCGGTGTGATGATCATTAAATTCACGAAAAGCAAGAACACGTTTATGCATATTCCAATCCTCATCAATATAATGTGCAGTCAGACCCAAATAATATAAATGATGAAAATCATCCTCCCATGTGTCAGAACAAATAGTAACACACCCATCAAAGTTTGCAAACAAATTTTGTAACCTTGCCTTTTCCGCATTATAAAGCCTTATAATTTCTTTCTTAACAGTTTTGCGACTATAATTTCTAAATTGAGGATTTAAACTACCTTGTGCATAATCTCTTAAAGCAAGACTTTCAGAAAACAGATAAGACAAATTTTCTTCACAAATTAAGTTAGTCATACCAGTCAAATTTTGTGCATCATTGTAGGAGAAATTAACAAAAGGTTGAGAATTCACGAACCTCGATATTTGAGTTTGCATCCCCGTTCCACAGCCTAAGTTTGCATACTCCACGGGGTGCTTTGCCTTAAGATGCCTTGCGGCGGAACCGTATCCGCCGGAGGTCCCCAAATTATAATTGTTGTTGCACCACTTGCAAGTTGCATGCCAATAGCCGGTTTGTGGGTCCTTCCATTTATCAAAATTATTTTGCATTAGTTCAAATTTACTTTTTTTTATTACCGGTGGCGGTTTGGGATGAGGCAGGCTGGTCGGTGTCGTGGCTGCCGCCACCCTCCTCCTCGGCCGTCTCCGGTTCCATTTCCTCCGCATATTCATCCTCAAGCTCCTCTTCGTCAATGGTCGTCAGGATTTGTTGTTGTTGTAGAAAGCGGTTATTATGTCGGGTCAATTCTTGTTGTAGTTGTTATTCAGACATCGCATCTCCATCTCGCCTTTGGTAACCCGTTTCAAAATCATCTCGGCTTTGAGATGAAGAGCCGGCAAGTTCTTTACCTTTGCGGGATTTCTTCCTCCCAATCTCATTTCTTCGATTGCGTTGAAGGTTACCCAAATCAACCGAATATCTACCACCTTCCATCTTAAAAATGTAACAAATATTAATTCGCAACAAATATAATAATGAATACAAACTAATGCAACTAATTAAAACTATTTTAATTAATACTTCAATTAACTAATGAACTAGTATAATGAAAAATGTAACAAAAATGCTAATGAACTAATTAAGTTTAATGAAAAATGTAAAAAGAATACTAATGAACTCATTAACTAGTATAATGAAAAATGTAACAAAAATGCTAATGAACTAATTAACTAGTTTAATGAAAAATGTAAAAAGAATACTAATGAACTAATTAACTAGTATAATAAAAAATGTAACAAGAATGCTAATGAACTAATTAACTAGTATAATGAAAAATGTAACAAGAATGCTAATGAACTAATTAACTAGTACAATGAAAAATGTAACAAGAATACTAATTAACTAATTAACTAGTATAATGAAAAATGTAACAAGAATACTAATTAACTAGTATAATACAGTACAAGTTATAGTAACTAATATATAATATAATGTTTATAGTATATAATATATAAGTATACTAGTATAAGATGAGTAATACACTTATATTTTATACTTTAATATATAAACTATATATTAAGTAGATGTAGAATGTATGTATTAACTATTAAGTGGATATAATAATTGTATAAGAATTAAATATTAGAGTATAATGGAGAATTGGAGATTGGAGATTGGAGAATAAGAAAATAAGTATATCTGAAATATAAGTAGAGAAGTAGATATTATTATGTATTAAGTATATAGTAATAGTTTATAAAGTATATTTAATACTTTAATATATAAAGTATATATTAAGTAGATGTAGTATGTATGTATGTATTAAGAGATATAAGTAGAGATTAAGTAGATAAGAAATATAAGTAATATAGTATATGTATTTATAAGTAGATAATTAATATATAAGTAGATATAATAATTGTATAAGTATTAAATAGTAAAATAAAATATAATGGAGAATAAGAGAATTTGAGAAGATGAATATGGAGATGAGTAGAGAGTAGGATTTAGGAAGAGTTAGAGAAGAGGTGTGAAAAAATGTTTAAAATTAGGAGTATTATAGTTTTTTTAACCCCTAACCCCCCCCCCCCCCCCCCCCCCAAAAAAGACCCCGGACCCCCCCGGTACCCACCCAACGGCTATATAGCCATTTGGGAAGTGGGTCAAGTGGTCAAAAGGCTTTTTTAATTTAAAAGGATTTTTTTTTTTAAAAAAATGGACCATTAGGCCCGGGCCCAACCCGGCCGGGCCGCCAAAAACAACACCCGAGCCCAGACCCGCCACCCCCACCGGTTCGGTGCCCGAACCGGACCCGGACCCGAGAACCGGGCCGGTTCCGGGCCCGCACAGTAACGGGCCGGGCCGGTCTTGGGCCGGGCGGCCCGAACCAGGTCCACCACTAGTATAGTAGTATCCATACCTTCCGATCCTCAATCTTCCTCGTCCCCATCTCCCCTTCCACCAGGAAATCTACCCCCAGAAAGCCTTTGTGCCCCTACCCACACCCAACCTATTATCCAACCCCCAGAAAACTTCACTGCCACTACACACACCCAACACATCACCCAAACAAACAATCCTCCCAACATAGTTACTAATCCAACCGAAATCTGTGTTGAAGAACCCATAACTGCCCCAGAAATTTCCCCTGGATTCAAATCCAACACATAACAACCTTCAAATTGTTCCCTATTTCCCACCCTCTAAATTGTTCTCTAGAGATGACATTCCTGGCAAAGAAGGAACCCCTACTGGCCTACTCTACTTATCATGGAGGAAGGACACTACTCTGACCATGAATCTCCCCTATCACCAGGTAAGAATTTAATTGCATCCTCTAAATCCATCTCGAAAAACTGGCTAAGGCGGCCAAATCCTCATCCGGGTCCTCAGGCCTAATGCATACATCATCCAGACGCATTTCAAAGAAAGTATATGATCCTAAACACCCCTCTATCTCTACTAGATCCCAAAAATTCAAAGAAGCCAAGGGGCTTCATCCAACCTTTTAATGATTCTGTTGAATTGGAATTTATGTGGTCTTTCATCCTCTTGTGAAAGATTACGCAAAATTCTACTCCAATGGAAGATTAATTTTTTCTCAATTAATGAACCTCTGGTGTCTTTTGAAAAAGCTGAATATTACAAGAATCTTATAGGTTCTACTCATGTTTTTACCAAAGGAGACAATAAAATTTGGTTACTTTGGAATGACAATTATTTTTCGGTCAACAATATCACTGAGTATGATCAGTTTATCCATTCCGAGATTTTGGATCGGTCTAATGGTAAGGCTTTCTGGTTATCTTCGGTCTATGGTAAACACTCCAAAATAGAAAGACAACTCCTGTGGACAGAACTACGGAACTGGAAGGACTCTAATGACGAACCATGGTTAATTGGAGGTGATTTTAACGTGATGGCATCAATCAATGAGCATATAGGTAAATCCTTACCTAAACTATCTAAAATTTCAGATTTTACAGAATGCAATGATTATTGAGAACTATTGCAAATTGATTTCTCTAGGTCGAAATATGGACTGGTGTTAGATCTAGGGGACGCCTCTGGAGGAGATTGGACAAATTTTTAGCTAATCCTCAGTTTTTTAACCTCTTCGACTGATTATTGAAAGACATCTGCCGAGAACACCCTCTGACCACTCCCCTCTAATCCTTAGACGTGGTCTCTAAATCTTGGAGCTAAGTACCGACAGGGAGGGGTATGCAGGGCCTATATGACAAACTCCAGGTTACCAAAAAGGCCTTGAGGGAATGGAACACCAACACATTTGGTGACATCTTTGAAAATATAAAAAAGGCCGAACAGGAGGCCCAATTGGTGGAGGACTCTTATATTTCTAACCCACGCCCTGAAACAAGAAGCCTTTGATCCAAAACTCAGGCCCAACTCCTTCAGACGCTTAAACAAGAAAAATTGTTCTGGAAACAAAAGGCAAACATAAAATGGCTGGCAGAGGGGGACGCAAATACACAATTCTACCACAATTATGTTAAGCAAAAAAGGAGGATTTCTACCTTCCTATCTATAGAGGACGATGAAGATAACCTAATTGAAGGTATGGACTTAATAGCCGGGGCAGCTGTTAATCAGTTTCAGAATCTATACACTTCCACTCCTATCCAAAGCTAGGAAATGAACTACATGCTGGATTATCTGTCCCCGGCTATTACCCGGGAGGATAACGCCTTTCTACAAGCCGTACCACTTGACGAGGAGATTAAAGACACGGTCTGGTCACTGGACCAAAACAGTTGTCCCAGACCTGACGGGTTCAGTGGTGCATTTTACAAGAGTTGCTGGGAAATTGTAAAAGGAGAACTTAATTCAGCTGTTCAAGAATTTTTCCTAGGAGTGAAGATGCCCAAAGCCCTCACCTCCTCCCTCATTACTCTAATCCCAAAAGTTCCCAACCCCAAAAAAATTTCCCAATTCAGGCCTATAAGTCTGAAAAATTTTGTGAACAAAATTTTGAACAAAATTTGGACGAAAATCATAGCCACGAGGTTAAAAATTAAAACCTCTACTCCACAAAATGATCACCAAGGATCAAATTGGGTTCATGGAAGGGGAATATATCCATAGGCACATCCTACTGGCTACAGAGGTACTTCACCATCTAGATGCAAAGACCAGAGGTGGGAATATGGCAATCAAGCTTGACCTTGCTCAGGCCTTCGATAGGGTCTCCTGGAAATTTTTGGAGGCAACCCTTATTAAGCTTGGATTTGACCAGAAAATCACACTTCTCATCATATCCAACTTAACCTCCAACCACATTTCCATCCTAAATCAAGGTCAATCCCATGGCTACTTTCAGCCACAGAGGGGGGTCAAGCAGGGAGATCCCCTATCTCCTTATCTTTTCCTTTTAGTTATTGAGAGTTTTACAAGAGGGTTACATTATCTCATCAATACTTCCTATATCAGACCCTATCGGATAGCAGGTAAACCGAGCCCGATTTGTTGCCTTGGCTATGTGGACGACTTGGTCATTTTCTTGAATGGAAGTGCCAAATCTCTGAGTCGTCTCCAGGACTTCATGACCACCTATTCGCAAGCCACTGGCCAAGTCATCAATCTGCATAAAAGTTCATTAATTGTTAGCAAGGAAACGAGCAATGCCAGAAAAATAAGCCTTGGAAAAGACACCAGAATGATAGTCACAAACCTCCCCATCACCTACCTCGGGGCAGTTATACACCGTGGCACCACAAGGATAATACACTGTCAGAAAATCATAAGCATTTTTGAGGCAAGACTTCAATCCTGGAATAAGAAATTGCTAAGTCAAAGTGGCAGACTAATCCTCTTAAAGCATGTTTTATGTTCAATCCCTTTGCATCACATGGCTATCAGTAAATTTCCGGTTAGGGTTATCCAAATCTTACACAGATTAATGTCCAATTTCTTTTGGGGATTCTCTGGGAAAAAACCGAAATATCACTGGAAAAGCTGGAATAGCATATGCAAGCCAGGAAAAGAGGGGGGTTTAAATGTTAGGTCACTTTTTTACATTCTGGGGTCAATGCAAATGAAAATGTGGTGGACATATATGGAAAATAACTCTACTTGGGCCAATTACATGCGTGAAAGGTATCACAGGGACAGAAATATGCAGCCTAAGGCAAATGACTCGGTGTGCTGGAAAATCATCTGTAAAACTGCCCATAACCATCCTGGTCTCATACAAAGAACAGGAAATTCTGTTCTCTGGACCCCTGAATCAGATGGTCAGTTCTCCCTCTCAAGTGCTTATCAACAAGCACGTGATTCCCAGCCTTCAACCTTCACCTTCACCCACACCTGGGAACCCCCTCTCCAATTAAAAATAAAAATTTTCCTATGGAAGATCCTTAACCAGTGTCTACCTTTCCCAGAAAACCTCAAACGTTTCAGAGTCCAATTGGTATTCCGGTGCCCTTTCTGCCTTTCCCATAGTGAAACCCAAGACCATGTGTTATTTAACTATGCTAACATTAGACCTATTTGGGTCTACTTTTCTCACATTTTGCAGGTCAGAACAACAACTCACCAAGAGCTAAGGCAGACCCTAATGTTGTGGTGGCTAGGGGGGAAAGGCGGTAACACTAGAGACATCCTCAGACAATGTATGTCGGGCATAATAGTATGGCATATATGGAAAGCATACAACAGATGTACCTGGGATGACATAACTTTCTCAAGACCCAAAACAGTTCATGAAATCAAAGAGTATACCAGGAATTGGATTTTCAGCAATCAAAAGAAAAAATGTTTTCAGTACGATGATGACCTCTTCAGAGATGGGTTAATAATTCCTTTCATCAAGAAAAAAAATTCAGCAACTGTCTTGAGGTGGAAAACCACAAACAACGATTCACTTACCCTCAACACAGACGCATCTTTCCTTCATAAAAAAAGTGCAGGTGGGGCCATTCTACGACAACCTTATGGGATATTCAAAGAGGCCATTGCTTTCCCTCTTGCCGCTTCAAGCCCACTGCATGCTGAAATGGAAGCAACACTCACCGCAACACAAGAAATGGTCAATAGAGGTTACAAATCTTTCATTGTTCAGTCCGATTCGGAAACAAGCATTAAAATGATTATAGGGTTTGCAAAAATACCAGGTTTTCTCAGTTCGATGGTGAAGAGAATCCATGACTTGAAGATGGCAAACTCGCTTTCTTTCATTTACAGACCAAGAGAGACGAACACATGTGCCCATCATCTTGCTTTGTACGGCCTTCGTCTCAATGCGATGGAATCCTTCAGCATCAACCAACTACCTACTAGAGCAAGAAAATCGTACTTTGATGATAAAAATGGGGCGTCCTTCTTTAGAGACACCGGTTGATTTTGGTTACTCTGCTAGAGGAAGCTCGGAAGACTCAAATGAATCGACGACTACCTCTCTAAATTGGACCTCTCTGGAACCCTAAACGTGCTTGGAATGATAAATGACACTTGGAAGTATTATGTTCGAAGGGATATTCTCTGGGATTTGAACGTTTTTGGCCCACCACGTTGGATTTAAGTTGTCTTTCTCTCCTTTGCCCGTCTTTTTTTCTCCAATGTATTTCCATTTACTCTTTGTTTGATGTAACATTCACTTTTGGTTTAATAAAAAAGGTAAATGTCCCCCCCCCCCAAAAAAAGGGAACGGCATCAAGAACAACAATACTAGGTAGACAACTCGTAAGAGTTTAGATTCTGACAACATATTGAGAAAAACTACTACACCGGTACATAAAACAACCCGTAAAACTGTTGATTCTTTTAGTTTCAGGTTGCATAAAGAAAGAGTTTCACCACGTTCATAAAGAAAGAGTTTCACCAGGTTGCATAAAGAAAGAGTTTCACCACGTTGCATAAAGAAAGAGTTTCACCAGGTTGCAATTACACTACAAGAAAACCTAGGCTTTTGGCCTTGTTCCTTGCCTTCTGGCTCTTGGATTTAATTCTTCCACGATAGTTGAATTTTGTCCCCAAACGCTCCACCAGGCCGACCTCTGGTTCATCCTCGACAGTGATGTACCGGAGAGCAACCAGAGCCCTAGCAGAACGTTGAACACTCTCTAGCAACTCCATGTAAGCTTCTTTTGCATAGGTATGACGCCGCTGCTTTTCCTTGCGGCCAGGAGGTGCAGCCTTCTCCAAAGCGGCTTTTGCGTTATTCCACTCCACCTTAGCAGCCTTTTTTTGGGATATCAGCGCCCCAAACTCTAGCAGAAGCTTATGAGGACAAGCCACACCTGCAGGAAAATCAAGCCCGGTTGATGAAACTGAGTTCTTAAGATAAAACTAAGCAAAAAGAAGAAGCTTTTAAGATGTTTGTACACACTGCAACACATATTTAAAGAAAATGAACACATTGGAACATAGATTAAGAAACTAAGCCTGAAAAATACTTTTAATGCCCAAATCGGGGATGTGTTTCCCTTTTCTTATTGCAGCTTCATTGATCCCATTGATTTAATTTTCAAAAAATAATACATATTTGTTAAAGCTATCAACAAATTCTAGAAATAACCAGACATATGAATTTACTCAAATTCGTGTATATATGTATATATACATACATATGGATTTGAGTAAATTCATTTGACTGGTTATTTCTAAAATTTGTTGATAGCTTTACCAAATACGTGTTATTTTTTTAATAATAAATCAATGTGATCAATATGAAGCTGCAATAAGAAAAGGGAAACACATCCCCCATTTGGGCATCACTTGTTAAAAGTGTTTTTCAGGCTTAGTTTCTTAATCTGTGTTCCAATGTGTTTATTTTCTTTAAATATGTGTTGCAGTGTGTACAAACATCTTAAAAGCCTCTTTTTTTTGCTTAGTTTTATCTTAAGAATAATAGTATATATAAGAACTCAGTTTCATCAACTGGTGTTGATTTTCCTGCAGGTGTGGCTTGTCCCTCTCATAAGCTTCTGCTAGAGTTTGGGGCACTGATATCCCAAAAAAAGGCTGCTAAGGTGGAGTGGAATAGCGCAAAAGCTGCTTTGGAGAAGGTTGCACCTCCTAGTCGCAAGCAAAAGCAGCGGCGTCATACCTATGCAAAAGAAGCTTACATGGAGTTGCTGGAGAGTGTTCAACGTTCTGCGAGGGCTCTAGTTGCTCTCCGGTACATCACTGTCGAGGATGACCCCATCCTCAGAGGTCGACCTGGTGGAGCGTTTGAGGAGAAAATTCAACTATAGTGGAAGAATTAAATCCAAGAGCAAGATGGCAAGGAGAAAGGCTAGAAACCTAGGTTTTCTTCTGGCCTAGGTTTGGTGAAACTCTTTCTTTATGCAACCTGGTGAAACTCTTTCTTTATGCAACCTGGTGAAACTCTTTCTTTATGCAACCTGAAACTAAAAGAATCAACAGTTTTACAGGTTGTTTTATGTACTGGTGTAGTAGTTTTTCTCAGTATGTTGGCAGAATCTAAACTCTTACGGGTTGTCTACCTAGTATTGTTGTTCTTGATGTCGTTCCCTGTTTTCCTTCCCATGCTGAAAATAATAAGCCAGATCTGGAAATTTCCGTTCACCAGTTATGAATAAGTTGTTCAATCGCCAGCTATGGGGGATTTTAGAAAAGGTTTAGCTCTTCAATTTTCAAGAATAATTTTTCATTCCCAATCGTGAAATTTCCATTCACGGCTTTGATTTTTTGTGGAGGATTGTTCATTTATAGGCACTCCAAGAGTAGGTTCATAGACGGTTGGAGATGACGATTCCTTTGACAAAATCTCCTGCATCATATATATTGAAAATAAAATTCCAAAGTAATTATGGCTGCCCATCATCAAAGCCTATAAATTCTGCATTTATACATCGTAAATGTATTCAAACTTTAGAATATCCTGAATAATTTGGGCCATTCCTCAACACCAGGAAATGTGTATCGCATGCATACATATATATGTGTATAACAAAATTGTACAAATACACCAGGAAATGTGTATTGCATGCATACATATATAAATTCTGCATTTATACACCCTATTATATAAATATTTACGCATTTAAAGTCCTTCCTAATTATTTGCTCCATATTCTTCTTAGAGGAATTTTAATATTTGCTCTACCCTAATTTGGCAACTTTTATAATATCGAAGTGCATAAATACCTACACTTCCTCATCTTTTGACTCCTGCAATTCACTTCTCTACTATTTTACTCTAAAACTCCATTAAAACCCAATTGGACCAAATAAATTAATTAATTAATAATGGAGTGTATTTCTAAAAGAAATTCATGCCTTGAAGGATTCCATTGTTCCCTCAACCTTAACAATGCCAGCAAAAATTCAGAATTCATGTGCTATCAAGGTCACCATTTCACATTGCTACTATGAACCTGTAAAAATCAACCACACAAAGGGATGCTTATTTAAGAAAGAGTTGCCTTTTTCAATAATTATGGAAAAATACCTAATTGTGGGATGCAAATTCCACACCGGAAGCTCCGTCCGGCCGAGGCCATCAGAGGCCCTTTCCGGTGGAATTTTTTGATGAATTTTTTTGAGCATGTTCTTCATAAAGTTTAGTTTATCCATACCAAATTTCAGCTAAAAATTCAACCGGGAAGGCACTTAAATGATTTTTGGAAGATGACTGTGTTTTATATGTATATCAAGTGCGCAGTTAACTTCCAAAAATTATTTGACTGCCTTCCCGATTGAATTTTTAGCTGAAATTTGGTATGGATAAACTAGACTTCATGAAGAACATGCTCAAAAAATTTCAGCAAAAAATTCCACCGGGAAGGGCCCCAAATAGCGACGGCCGGACGGCGGGTCTTGTCCCTCCGGCTGGACAGGATCATTACTCTATATATATATATATATATATATATATATATATACTAGCACCGGGAAACGCATTGCGCGAGGTTAATGCCCAATGGAAGCAAAAAGATCAATGCAAAGAACGGCAAAATAACAAGAAACATGAACATAACAAAGTTAGAGCGGGAGAATATTACAACAAAAATTACAACGCTAAGTGTTCATAAAAAAGTATTCATAAAAACTGCTGAGCCAATTAAGAAAGTATTCATAAAAATTGTTGAGCCATAAAAATTGTTCTTGAGGAACACTAAGTTGTAGTGGGGATGTATCTCAAAATCATCTTTAACCAGCTAAAAGAATTTCCTGTGTCCCGTAATGAATTTTCACTGCGTGTTTGAAATTGCTGAGCCAATTAAGAAAGCCTCAACTTTCACTGTTCTGAATGTTTAAAGTTAAACTGTCATGAACAATCAAATTAGATAACAATGAATAAAAGAGTGAAAGTAAATCTTTGAAGTTCTTGCTAGCACATTTACAAAAGAATGGCTATAAAACAACTTCCTTAATGTGGAAGGTGTGATACAGCAGAGTGCACAGTGACTATAAACTCGTCCACAACACATTTTGGGAAAAATAGACATGTGAGTTTTCAGTAAAGCACGTATACTAAAAGAGGAATTGAACCATAAGAGGATGAGGACAGAAGTTCATATGGACTATTGATCTGTCAAGCACAGATACAACAATAACTATTAGAAAAATTATAATTATGATGCGCAATAACATTATGGGCCTCTGAGACGACGAAATCCTAACATAGGCTGAGCAAAGGCAATCTGTAAGCTTACAGATTTCCTTCTAAATCTGGTAGCTCATAGATTTCCATCTACCAGATCGTACCGTTTTGCGAGCACAAGCCTATCATTTTTTTACATGTATTAGAATGTAAGAAATTTATGTAGAAGTATTTCTACTCAAAGCATCATGAGCATAACTATGACTCTTTGAGCAATCACAAGACCATGTGTGGTCCAATTCAATACAAAAAGGCATGGTACCATAAATTGCATGCCAGAGGTGATCAACATAGCTAATTATTTTGTGAAGCACCACTACTTTTTTCATACCAGCCAATTGAAAGAAGCATAACCACCTATTCTTGCCATCAACATAATAGCATAGGGGAATCCGCAATGGCTGCAAAAAATAGTCAACATGCCATAGGGTCACCATGTGTAAACATTTCCTTTTGTAAATATTCATCACAGCCTCAATTTTAAAAATTATGATTGCCCTCCCAATTCGACCCGCTCCACGAGCAAGGAGCGAGAGAACCAAGTGGACTATGGTGATGGCAGATTTGTTATTGGAGCATTTCAGATAGGATTCCAAAGAAGTGGTTTTATTTATTTTTGAAAGAGATATTCACAGATTGATTCACGGAGGAGTACTTCACTGCAGATGAGAACTCCGCCTGGAAATGAAACAAATCAGAAAGAAAAAAAAAAAGCAATGGTTCAACACTTTCAACCTAAAACAAATACCATATCCAAATTCTCTAATGCGATCAAGCCAGCAAAGAGAAATGAAATGGAGTTACCTTTTTCAATAACAAGAGCAACAATACTTTATGATATGTTCTCTAGGACTCTGCAACACATGATTCATTTCCCTATTAAAACTTAGCAGCTAGACTCCACAAACCTTAAACTACAATTTAAGGCATTCAAATTTACCTGCCACCACTACATGGATCTAAGAGACTATTTGAGAAGATGATGCCACTCCCAAATGTCCCTAAGAGCCATTTTTATATCCTTCAAACACGAAAAGTCAACCATGTTTTAACGACAAAGAAAGACCAGATTGTTCACACTGTCAATAATCCAAGTTACCAATACAAAATAAAATGACATAATGTACTAAAATGATAAGTTTATACAAGTAAAATACATTGTGCACCTATCACACATAGCGGCATAGCGCGTAGCAGGCTAATTTAATTTTATAGAGTCCGAGTTGTTAAAAGAGAGCATGTTCTAAGATAATTAGGACTGCCATATGCAAGCATGTTAGCAGCCAAAAGAGGGAAGTATACCTCTAATTGCTTGCGGCCACTCAGTACTCCAAATGCCAGCTACAAAGCATCTAGGACTGAAAACCCCAAGGCATTGGCATACTGATCAAGCGAATGCTTAATGCTTTAATTCTGATGAGGGTTTGGGATCAAAGGGTGAGCAATTGCTTTCAGTACTTTCCTTCACTAATATTGCAACACATTGACAGATAAACCATGTGTGGGATAAGGGATCTCTTCTCAATGTTTTTAATCACATTCGTTTCTGATTGTTGGACTTGCTTATGCTGCAAATAACAGTTGACATGATGTTAGTTTATTTCCCTTTTAATTTTAGGGAGGGGTTGCTCCAGCAAAAAAAAAAAAAAAAAATAGAAGCATTCTCTAACATGATTTCTTTAGGACAACACTACAACAGATACTCCTTCAAATGTATCTGCAACCAAGAAAAACCACCCTACACACTTCACCAAAAATCATACAAACACTTGGACACCAAAAGAGTAAAACAACCTGAACTGACCTAAAATACACTTTCCTAACAGCTTGAGGATCAGAGCTCCAGACTTCAAATTTTCCAATATATATATATATGTATATATATATATATATATATATATATATATATATATATATCGAATTAGAGAAAAAAACAGACAGACTATTAAAATAAAATGCAACGGTAACTTTAAGCACAACCATAAAAGCAAAATAGTTACCTCCTCTCCCTCAATGCTATTTGCATTCTATTTCATCTGAAAGAGTTTCAATCGAATAACAGACGAAGTAGTGAGACTGAATCTGGCCTTATTGTACGATTCAAGCATATCCAATTAAGATCAATTTGACAATTCCCTATTTGTACAATTTTTCAAGCCAGAATAAAGAAGTCAAAAGAAAAATCAAAATAATTTACCGTCTTCCATCATATCCTTGAAGATATGCTCTGTTGGTCGGTCGTTTCTCCAGACAAAACTCTCCCATATCAATTGAGAAATCAGATGTGAAACCTAAAACAGAGTAACACAAGAAACGAGAAAAGCCAAATTACTACCCATGAACTTCAATGTAAACAAAGATGGTTTCGAGTTCTGACCAGGGAGATAGGACAGGGACTTCCTGAGCTCGCAAGGCCGGAGGTGTGGAGCTACTCACCGGTGGAAATCGTGACACAGTACAGATCAATGGCTATGGCTTCAAACGTTTTTTTACAGATGGAGCATTGTGCATTGCATATGATTCTAACTTTAGCTTTAGCTATGGCTTCATCTACTTCTTTCCTGACTCCCTTCTCAATGTCCTGGGAAAATAGAATTAAAGATGTGAGATTACTACATTATATATCTACCGGAAAAACAATCATTTTCAATAGTTACTAAAATCAGCAAGGATCATAATTCTGGTGGCAAAAGAAACAATGAACCCATTGTAAAAGATATCATGTTACTAAATCTATGATTATATATTTATATCCTTCTACCTTTAGCTCCTTTTCAGTGGAAATATCATCAGCTACTCAGCTAGTATAAGTTTTCGGACTCTTTCAATTGGACCACGCTCCTGCAATGTACGAAAACAGCACATGCGATAAATCACATCCAGTCATTCTCATGCTAAATAAATATTCAGGTAGATCTTGAGATTTCTACTCACCTGTTTCACTCCACTGATCTCATCACGTGTGCGATATGTGCTTCCAGGATCAGACATGGAGTGCCCATGATACCTATAGGTGTCCACTGTCCAATTCAAGAATCTGAAGAAAACTTAAAATTTTCAGTAATTAATAGAAGTTTCAGTAACTAATAGAAAACATGAAATTATCAGTATTTTAATTTAACGTATTGATGGATATTATCAAAATTCGAAATTGATATCAATATTGGTAAAGAAAATAAAAAAGTACTTTCAAATGCTTATCGAGAACTTTTATCAATGTTGAGGATTCGTGTATTGTTATGGGGAACAGTTTACTCAATGGCATGTCTAAAGTTGCTAGGTCGCTGACTCGCTGCACATACAACAAACAAAGCTACATTAAACTGATAGAAGTAACCAACATTTTAGACCCTGACTGTTACCTTTTTCCTTACAAGGAATTGATGTTATTACCAGAATAAAAGAACCCCTTTGTACAAAGAAAAGAATCTGTATCAAGACTTCTTAGTCCCTAAAAAGAGTTTAACTTGTAAGAGTCAACTTTCAATTTAAATTAGAACTCCTTTAAAGTCAAGTGCCAAGCAGTTTTAGTCAATAACTCAAAATTCTAAACAACCTTGGAAACAAGTTTAAGTGGCATCTGTGATTAAGTGATCATTAATGATTTGTAACAGCTTGTACCTCGAACGAGTTGACTAAAAAACGATGTACGCCTTTACCTTACTCAAATAAAACCCTCCTTTTCGAAAGGGGCAGATGGAGTGATTAACTTCTTTAAAGAAGAATTATATGCACTCACAAGTGGTCCATTCTTCAGAGCATGCTCCTTGGCAAATTTTCAAGCTTGCTTCACAGCAAGGACGTCCATACCATCGACCTGTTACAGGAAGCAAAATAATCAGTGGATTTTTTACACCTACAAAGAACATGATAAGCATTGATACTGAAGTAATTGAACAGCCTCCTTGGATTTGTTCTTTTATTTACTCTAATAGGACGTAGAGCCTTAGCAGTTTGCTTCTCTACCATCACAGCAGTCCCTGCGCGTACATCATTTGCTGTTACCAGCCCTGCTTCGCCTTGGGCATGAACATCCTTAGAAGCAGGTTTATTCCCAGAACTGAGGGCAGGGAATTCATCGTCCGTACTTGCCAAAACAGTAAACCTGGATGATGATCTGATATTCCTCACTGTGGAGGACTCCCCAAACCCCTGTTTTTCGACGCCATTGCAAGTACCAGCGGCTGAAGAATCACAGAAGCTAAAAACGACAATGAACAGTACTCGTTCAATCCAATTTTCAGATCTTGAACTCCCCCTTTTCAGGAAAGGCATGCAGTAAGCTGGCGCGCCCTAGAAAAAACTCAGAAGCCGGAATTCAACGTCGATGTGGAATCTCCAAGTGTTCGAACTCCAAACCAGACACCAAATCCTCAAACAATTGTCGGAATTAACACAGTAAACAAAAATCACCTGCGATGTGAAAATTAACCACACGGTTTTTCATCTCCCTTCTGTGGGTCTCTGGCCTCTAATCAACCTTCCAACTTCAAATCCAAGCTCGGAAGTAGGCGTAGATTGGAATATCGACCAGAAAACCAACAAAATCCATAGTCAAATCTGCTCAATCGATTGAAGAACCCATGTCGCTTGAAACTGGTATGGACCCAGCGAGAGTCTCCCTCTCTACCTGAAAGTTTTCCTAGCCACGACTGACGTGAATAAAGCTTGTATGCTTGAGATGCTTGAGATTTCTATAGTGAGAATAACATGGAGAATCGGCGGACGTCTGGAACCCTAGCCTTGAATACGTCGAGCAAGAATGAGCAGTGAGAAGTTGGGGAAATTGAAGAATGGAAAATGAATTGGGAAAAGCGTAGTGGCTTTACTTCTAGCGGGAGAGAAGTAGACGGAGTTAGCAACGCAGTTTCTGTAGAAAATGAAAAAGAGGCAAATGCGGCAAACAAAACCAGAATTTACAATTCTAATTTATATACGTGGAAATCTGGAAAGTTGCTGAAGAATGGAGATTGAAGATGCTGGAAATCGATTAGACGACTATGCGGAATTGGCCATCGAGGTGTCGACGGACCTAGTGCCACTGGGCGTCGATCAGATGCTTTAGTTGTGGGCGCCACCGCGGAGTTAAGAGCTCAGACAGGAGTCATGGACTCATCACTCATGGCCAGATTGGAGCATTTTTTACTTGCGTTTCGCGGCCGCAGGTCTGTACGTCAATTACAATGAAGGCTAAACTAAAAGTTGATATCTTTATTATTCCAAATTAACCAAAGAGCAACTAAGCTGCAGCAGTACAGCACTACGCAGAGCAAATTCTCCTTATCTTTAAAACTCAAAGATTCTATTAGGAACTCCAAATTCGTAACCGTAAATTGAGGTCTATTAGCAAAAAAAGTGCAGAAACGGGGAAGAAGAAAATACAGACGAGGCTCTTCGAGAAGTCTTACTCTCCTAGATCCAAATTCCAACTAATTTTTGCCTAATTCCTTACTCCTCACTTCCCTTCTATTTATACTACCCATACAAATTAAATTATTTTTATTATTAGCACTAATCTGGCCGGTTCCTATCAGATTCAAGACACTAGGACTCATCAGCTGCAGCAAAATAATGAATATAAGTGATTTTCAATCAAAGATTTTGAATGCCAGTTATTTCTTGATACAAAAAGCACACTAAGCTGAACACCAATTGCACAAAAAACATTCGTTCACAAAACGGGTAATAATAACTGAATAAACAAATAAATAAAGCTAATTAGCTAAGGGGGGAAGAGCTAGATACTCTATCGGATAGCAAATGAAATGTGGGGAGGGATTATTGGTTCCAGCTGTTGCTTTGCATAACTTCTGCCAGCTTCGTCCTGTTCCAACTCACCAAGATCTGGTGGTGCATGCAAATAAGCTAGCGGCACGGACGGATCAATAATGATTTGTTGAAGCCCAACACAATTTTCCAAAATGAACATCACTACTTCCATATCACTGCAGCGGCCGTAATAGCCTAAATACTGGAACACCTTAAGGTGTTGGTGTGGGAATGGTGTCCCCTTATTCACTTCTCTGCTAGCCCATGACGATCTCCCGCCCCAGGTAATCTGCACATGAAAAAATAACAAACATTGATTCCATCTGTCTGATTCTCCTACACATGATGAAATAGAAAGACAACATGCAAGCAGCAAAATTCTAGAATCATTTAAGTAAGACAAACCTACTTAAAAAAACGGAACACTATGATTATAGAACAACAACATCCAAGCCTTAGTTCCAAAAGATTTTGGGGTCGGCTGAAATGGAATCGATACATGATATCGGAGCCAAAAGGGAAAAAAAAAAGATTAAAAAAATAAAGTATGATAAAAGGGAAAAGGGGAAAAACTTGTACAGAAAGGCAAATGATAACGCACACGTAGTCGGACCCACCCACCATTAACACAAACTCTTCTAGGTTGGGAGATATCCTAATGAATGTCATTAGCCCGAGAAGACTTTCATCATGGTTTGCACAAAAACCTACAACTAGCTTCTTCAACTGAAGCATCTCAGGGAAGTTGAACTGCGCAATTTGATCTGCCTGCGGGAAAAATGGTAATCAACTGTAAGGAACAAATAATATATACGAAGTATTATATTATTTTTGCATAGCAGCAGATGTAATGATGATGTGCTACCCCATGGATCGGCAGCCGCAGGGTAAGAATCTCCAATTGGGAAAAGCAGCAAGATAGTGCAGGAACTAACAATGGCATGTGAACGTTCTGACAGATAATGTCTAAATCGACCAGCATTGGCACATTCTCAAGAACAAGTCCTTTTGTTGTCCAAACTGCAAGTGAAGTAAGCTTTGGTGCGGATATCTTAATGGATACCAAATCAAAGCAATACCTTGCATACAGGCTTTTTAGCACGAGAGATGGACCACAAACTTCAAGATTTGATAATTGATCTATGTCTTGAAGATCTAATTGCTCCAGTGATGGGCAGTTGCGTAAGAAAAACTCAATAGCTTCATCACTGATCGAAACATTCTTCAAACACAGCGCTTTCAGGGAATTGAAGTTGAAAAATGTAGTAGTTTGGTGAGGGATGTCAATGTTGTTTCGGAACAAGATGTCTTCAGGGAAGGCATACCGTTTCTCTGATTCGTCATCACCATATTCCAGAAGGTTCAACTCCAACCTCTCAACCCGTCTCTTAAAAGCAAACTTAAGCCACTTTGTAATGGTCCCAGACTCCCAGAGAATGCTTTTCCTACATCAAAACAGATCCTGAAGTGTTCCAAGGTGAGCGTCCCTTTGTGTGGTGCAGATTTAAGGACTGAGTTCACCCATCTTACGTACTTGCGCCTCTCCTCACAGCGTAGCTTGCGATCTCGAGCAATCCTGTCTAATGCATTGCTTGCATCAAAATTGAGGCGCGAGGTTTGTTTCCACAAGTTCTTCCAACGAGATGAAAGAACACTCGTGCGCCCAGCTTCCTTCAGCGGAAGAGAAGACAATATCACACCTAGAATGTCATCAGGAAGGCGACTTATCCGATCATAGATGTCCAATCTCTCAGAAGCACACTGTAACACCAAACAAAACAAATATAAGAGAATTCAGCATTGCTTCCTTGTACTCAACTGAGGCCACACTCTAGGCCAAACCATATTGAACCCAAAAGATAACTAGTTCCATTATAACTCATGGCAAACCCAAATATGCCTCACCCTACCATCATAACCCAAATTCACATGCTTAACAGCTTATTTTTGCCCCTTTACAAGCCTGATTTTTTTTCAAACAAAAAAAGGCTCATTTTTTTTAAAAAAAAGCACAAGTTGATTTGAGGTACATTGAAGAGGCCGGAGTGGACCACCAAAAATAAAAAACACAGAAGTCTTTTTTAGTAGTTAGGACAACAAGGCGGCAGTTTTTTTCTGAGAGCTGACCTTCAGTTGAAACCTGAAATCCCGAATGACTCGATTTTCACCCATCAAAGAATGAATATTTAGGCTCCAATGCAATATCTACAAAGAAATAGATCCAATGTTAGGGGTTCTATAGGTCAAAAGAATCAAAAGAGATGCAAAACTGAAGCCACTGTGAACTATAACTGCCTGGTTTTTTAAGCTAAATGGGCAATCACCTGGTCCAATCTTTTTTTTTTTGAAGAAAAGGCACTGTATTGTACATTAAGCAGAGCCCACCAGGAAAAAGTTACCTCTTTGTTCCCAGCAGCGTTTTCAAGAGCTTGCCTTCTTAGGTCGGTCGGATCCAAGAGTGAAGCTGAGCTTCATGAAGCATAAGCTTTATGAAGAGGAAAAACAAAGTTAGACGGTTTTCCTCTTAGGATTGGTGTTTCCTACTGTTTCCTATTGTATGGATTTAGGGAGTGTTTGCAATTGCTTCAACTTAAAAAAAGTGATTTTTTAAAGTGATTTTGGGAAAAGTGATTAATAGTAAAAGTTGGTAGTGTTTGAGAAAAAAGTGATTCTGAAAAAGTAAAAATTGGTAGTGTTTGGTAAAATAAGTACTTTTTGTGTAATAGAAAAAGTGAGAAGCAGTTTAAAGCACCCTTCTACCTGCTTCCAGCTTTTAGCTTTTAAGTGATTAATTTAAGCAGAAACTGTCATTTGAAAACACTCTTTTCAACTTTTTTTAAGCCAAAAGCTGAAAAGCGCTTTTTTTAAACAAACCCAAACACTCCTTTAGTGTTAGTAATGAAACTGTTAGTAAGTGTTGATGCTAACACTTGTTTGGGAGAAAAAACCAGAGGTGTTAAGAAGTGTTAATAATAACCTTCCCAACACCTCAATTGTCCATTTTTTTAACACCCCGATTTGGAGTGTTTTGAGGTGTTGGACAATTATTACCCTTCTCATTTACCCGAAAAACATAAAATGCATCGACATTTCACTTCGAATGTCTTTCCCACGGGTCTGATGGTTTGTTTTTTCATCTCTTCTCTTTACTCGTTTCTTTTGCCTCAAGGTAAAATTATTAACACTTCCATTATTAACACTTCATTCATTTGACTCTCCCAAACAAGGTAAAATTATGTCTAACACTTACACTTCTCTTTCCTTCCGAACTCTTACTAACACTTACTAACACTTCCATTACTAACACTTCCAAACACTCCATCCAAACAGACCCTTAAGCGGGCAGGAGGATAGTAGGTGAGGAGCTTGAGGTGTCTGGGGCGGTTCCGGGAGGTGTTGAGTTGTTGACGATGAGTGACTCGAAGAAATAGCACTAAATAGAATTAAAACAAAACAAAAAAATAGAATTAAAAACACACCTAGCAGGAGTTTAAATAGGGTGTTTCTGCTTCTTTTTTAAAGCATAATCAGAATCGGTTTTAAGAAGCTGGTCACCCTCAGCTTCTAAAAAAACTGATTTTAGGGGTAAATCTGAATACCAGAATCACTTCTTAATTTTCACTCAAACACTCCAACTTCTGTTTCTGCTCCCTGAAGGAGCAGGAGCAGTTTTAAGAATTAGATCCAAAAACCCCCTAAGTAGGATTTGATGTTTTATTTTGGTTGTTTCCCTAAATATTACTCTACTAAATTGAATTCAATTTCCAAAAAATAGGGAGATTTTCCGAAACATGATTAAATAAAAGGATAATTGAAACAACGAAAATTGTCCTAAATAGGACTAATGAGTTCCTAAAAAGCACAAATATAACTACTACTTTTTAAATTCCCTAAATAGGACTAAACATTGATTTTCTACCCTAAATACCCCTAAGGGTATTAATTCATAATGAAATGCTTTTAATCATAATAAAATCATAAAAAATCGTAAACAATATTTAAAAATCGTAAAAAAATTATGAAAATTTAATAAAATATTTATGAAATAAAAATTTAAAAACAATATTTATTAATTTTTAAAAAAAAATAATAAAAAATAGTAAAAACCCATAAAAAATTTAAAAAATTATGGATACCTTTCCCACCGCCTCCCAGCACCACACCTCCGATTGGTGAATTTCTTCCACTTTTGGTAAAAAAAAATGTCATCTTTTCTGAAAATTCCAAAAAGATGGCATAATTACTCTTCAATATGCCAACATTTTCGTTGAACATGCCATCATTATGGCATTATTTAAAATGTTGGCATATTTTTCTCCGTTGATGGGAGCTGGGGGTGGCAGGGGTGGCAATTTTTTTTAATTTTACAATTTCTTTTAATTTTCCAATTTTTTTATAATTTTTTTATTTTTTTTTTAAATATTTAATTAATTTTGTATTATTTTTTTACGTTTGTTATTATTTTTTCGATTTTTATTATTTTTTTATGATTTTATTATTAATTAAAACATGTCACAAGCTACAAGGGTATATTTGGCCAAAACTCACATAAATAGTCATATTAAGAGAATTTAAAAAATGTAGTCCTATTTATGCAATTTTTCCACGTTTTAGTCTTATTGCCACGTTTTAAAAAATGTAGTACATTTATGCAATTATGCAAAAATGTAGTCTATACTCTTGAAACAAGTGTATAGACTTTTAAAAAGTGTATACACTTTTAAAACTGAACCGTCACTGTCGGTCGTCAGAATTTCACCTAGATCATCGTTGCCGATTTGCATGTCCGCCTCCATCACCGAAGTTGTAGTCATCAGGTAGTGAGCCAGTGAGGCATCAAAGGCATTGTAGTCAGTTGCAACAACTTCCTTTATCTTTGAACCAAAGAAGCTCTTAAAGGCCATTAATGGTAGACTCATTCATTTAGATTGAGAGGGAACACTTTTGCTGATTAAAATTTTATTTGATATTCAGATCCTCGAGATGATCTTGGTTGCATGGATGTGGCAAGAAAGGTTCAGGACTTCTTTTTATAGTCCGTAATAAAAACTAATTTAGATCCACAACATAGACAATATATATGCATCTCCAGAACCATTAGTTACTTACCTTTCTTTGTAAAAGGCAACAGTGTAAGAGTCTGTTTGCAAAAGCTTAAAAAATCGCATCTCGGTTTTTGTCTTAAAAAAAACTAAAATTAATGCTTTCAAGTAACAACCTTTATTTTAAAAAGTGTTTTCCAGCTTTTGGCTGAAAATTGCTTTTTATTTTTTCTATTACACAAAAAGCACGTATTGTACCAAACATTATCAACTTTTACTTTTCAAAATCACTTTTTCTCAAACACTATCAACTTTTACCATTAATCACTTTTTTCCAAAATCACTTTAAAAAGAGGGTTCTTAAAGCAAAAACATTTGCAAACACTCCTAAGTGTTGTCATTTCATGTAATGTTTTGTGAGCTAATGGTTTCAATTCACCAAGGGCTTTGATCCTTGCTTGGCTCCTTGGACGTCGTATAAACTTAAACGGCATTGACGTGCACTTTGTCGTGAGTGCACTCAAAATAAATCGATACTAACACTTATACGTAGTATAGGTGAAGTAGAGTTCGTATCCACAGGAAAAGGAATAACTTTCTTTTTATATAAACAGTAAATAAAGGGGGGGTTTTGATGGTTGAGTGATTTAATTAAATTAAACACGAAGATGAACGAGTTATATGAGATTAAATTCAAGAATAAAAGGGACTTGGTCTTGCTACTTTCCACTTGTTGATATATTTTAGTCGATCATTGTTATATCTATAACTTATCCCCTCTCGAATACTCAATCGAGGAGTATATCCAATTCATCGAGGGTAGTTATTAACAACGACCATTCATTAATAACCCTTACTATTTATCAAATATAGAACAACGCCGTATACCGATATAATAGTAGCTTTTAACCTCTTTAACTCCTTGATGAAATCAATTAAGATTGATAACCTCAACACAACGGTTTCGGTTTAACCAACAAAATTAATCCCTCTTAAGTTTATTAACCACGACCGTGCATTAATAAACCGAAGTTACTTACTTATGAAACCATCAACGTTTAACCATCGGTTCGTTGATCGTTTCTAGTAATAATCAATGTCGGAACGTTAACTAATCATCACTTAGCCACCCTCCAACATTAATATAGAATGAGATTAAGGGAAGAATTAATAATCAAGAGGAGAAAGTAAGAAAATAACTCACAACTTTAATAATCAACAAGCTTCAAGGGCAAAACCAAGAATTGGAAGTTTAGCTCCTCATTTGGAGACTAAACATGCTAAAAGAAATATAAAGAAATGCTATTCTAAACTGAGCCTAAGTATATGGAAGAAGGGATAATTTTTTGTGAAGAAAAAGTGTGCTATTTATAGGTGTTTTTCAACACCTTTGGCTGGGTACCCGACCGGGTATAGGTACATACCCGACCGGGGTACCGGTCAAAATCATATTATCTCCCACGTTTATGTGTTTTTAGCACGTTAAATTGTCCGGGTCAAGTCAGACCCGACCGGGTCAAGCAAGGGACCCGACCGGGTTTGGTCAAAATCAGATCTTTTCCAAATCTGCAGCATGTTCTGGTGCTTCGGGTCAAATCTGACCCGACCGGGTCGAGTAAGGGACCCGACCAGGTCTTACTCTTTCCTCTTAGATCCTGATCTTTAACTGACCCGACCGGGTTCAAGGTCTGACCCGGTCGGGTTTGTGTTCCTGAGCATTTTTGTCTTCAGCTTTTCTCCCCTTTTGCTTGCTAAAAAAACTCTATCACTATTCTACAGCTAGAAATAGAAGGTAAAAACAATTACAACTAAAATAAAACAAATACTTACAAAGTAACTAAAAGTGATGGAAAGTCCACACAAGATCAATATAAAAACATACACTTATGCACTATAAACTAGTGCATATCAGGAAGGTTAGTGTGTGTATTCTTTATCCCGTTCTCTGGCTGGATCAAAGCAGATAGAAATATCAAATATATAAAAAAATGGTAGTTTGAAAGCTTGTATCCTGCACACATGGGGCCGAGTGTGATGCCATTGAAAGAATTTTACCATAGGTGTCAACACCACACTTTGATTTGTGAGAACTTAACTAGGGGGACCAACTGTCACTTTAGTTTTGAGGACCGCAAATACATGTGGAGAAATGGATAATCTTCACGACTTCACCTACACTTATCAACAATTGGTTATGAGAAAGAAGGGCCCACAAGTTTACTATTGAGCTATGCACAAGTTTACTCAGCAATAAACAAGAGCTTATCTATAATAATACTAGCGGTTTAAATCAAAGGACATGATCAAAGTCAAACAACACTACTCCCTTTCACTTTGAAGACTCTCAGTTTGGGACTCTTGAAAAGTATATGGGCCTAGACACATGGTCCACACACTTTTGGATGCACAAATGGTCCAAGTCCATTACAATACCTGGGACCTCTCAACCAAATCCAGTGCAGAAGAAAGAAATACGCT